TTTTTTTTTAAGATCTGCCATTATATTTGTTTTCCAAAGCCCTGATTTCTCCACAGGCCTGTGCTCATGTTCAAGGATAGAACATAAATTCAGAACAATCCTCAGCCCAGGAAAATCAGGAAAATCTGTCTCTACACTGGCTACTCTCTATCAGAAAGGAAGGCTTAAGGCACACTCTTGTGAACAAGTTTCTCCTCTTTCCCCAGAGGAAAGAGGAAGAAAGATTGTCACATTAAATCTGCTGACTGTTTTCTCTGTGGTGCACGTGTACCTACAAAGGAGGGAACTGAACTGGCCCCAGGCTGCACCATGAATACTCCTCCTCTGTCATAAAAAGCCAGAACAAGCTTTTCTAAAGCTGACGGCAGGATTTGGACACGTGAACACTTTTCTCAGTTGAACACTTGTCACCTTCGTATCAATTTAAGCTTTGCTAAAAAGGAAATCTCTAATTGAGAGCACTGGTTCTCTTAAAGAAGCACCTGCCAGTAGCAATGTAAGATTTTTAACTACAATCACCTCTAGCCACACAACTATGCAGTGATTTATGTTAGAAATCTAGCAGTGTTAAAGTTCTCTTTAAAACAGAGTAAATTCCAGATTTCCCTTTTAAAGGTGATTTAGATGTCTCTTGTAAGGTGCTTGAAAGTAAATTTACTATGAAGTAAATTGGAAATTTTATGCAAAATAAGCTTTATATTTTTCTGATGCCAGGAAACAGTTACTGATTTATTGCTTAAATTAAACCTAGTTTGGATGAAAGCCTTATGGGTATAAAAAAATATAACACTTCTGTGGTTTTTGCACCTCTTTACTGATATTCCTAAAACTCTTCTTTTGTATTATTACAGAAAGGAACCAATATCACAGTAAAATATAGATAGCCTAATGCTGAATTTAGAAAATGCTTCACAGGAAAATGTTAATCATATAAATTATGTCCTTACCCACAATGTTTCCAGGCATAAAGACAATGATGCTCATGATAATGGAACCTAGCCAGTAGAGGCCAATGGTTCTATAGCTTTGTCTGGTTAAAAAGAAAGCAAGACATCATTATTGCATAGTCCTTAAAAATCCCCTACCCCAAATCACCCTTAAATATTATACCAACTGCAATGGTTGTATCTTAGTGAGTAAAGGTTTTAAAATGTGTACCACAAGTCAACAGTGGATTTTTGCCTCTGAAAGAGGAAAATCCCACATTCATGTGTGAGAAGGTTATCACATGAACAGGACAGGATTTGTGCACATTCAGTTATTTGCTGTTATGTTTCACTCATCTGAAGACTGACTGCATGATTTTGCACATCACAGGTTGTACAAGACTATAAAAGAATAACTAATTACTAATTTCATTCTGTTAATGCATCTATTACCAGCAGGTACATTAGCCTCGGGAATTCAAGAACTTAGTTTCTCTCTTTATTCAACAGAAAGAAACGTAAGAATCTCTTGAAATAATTATTTTCTCTTAAACTGTATGATACATCCTAACATGGATGAGAGATCATCGTGCTAGGCAGTACATTAATTCCTATCACAAATATGTTTGGTAAAAAAAGATGGTTTTTTCACACATGATTTTAACATGCATCAGCTTTAAGCTTTCCTCTTAACTAATACAAAGCATGCAGATGGGCTTATGCTCTCCACTGCAGAGTGAAGAAGAGAGATTCAACCCAATGCATTTGCTGAGCTTACTCAGCTGAGAGAAAGGGTAACTTGGTAAAGGTACCGTTCCTGAAAGTAATGAAATTATAATAATGTTGCTTTGGCCTAAGACATGAAACAGTCTTGAAAGAAAACTCTAAACACTGCATAGAAAAGAATGCCCTTTGTAGGTTAAACGAGCATGCAAGCAAAGTAAACAGTACCAAAATCAAAATTACTCACTCCCATGCAATAGCTGCCACCATCAACAGGTACATCAGATAATGAACGGAGCCATCCCAGTAGCAGATCACGTGGCCATATGCAGTGTTCAGATACGGTTCACCCTAGGGAACATTTATTTTTAAAAAGATGCAGTGATTAGAGGGAGAATAATTTATTAATTAAACAGCAGGAAGCAGTTGAAGGAAAGTAGCTGATGCTCTTTAAAGCCAGAGGTACAGGTTTTGACTGATAATGAATGTTTCCAAGCACAGACTTTATTTAGGTAGGATCAGCTATAATTAAATCAGTTCTATATTTGCAAAATAGGGTGTGAGATGGGAGGGAAGACTCTTTTGTTACTGTCAGCACTGTTCTGCTATTTTATGGAAATATTACTTTTCCATATTTTAGTGATAAAAGCTACAAAATAAAGATACACTTAACATGAAACAAATTAAGATATATTTAGCAACCTAGAGATCCACAAGATATTGAATATATTGATGATAGCATATAACCTTGTAAGGTCCAACTCATTTCATGGATCTTTTCAATGACTTTCATGTCAAGTTCTTAACTGAGCTATTTTTGGTGGATGTTGATATTCAGCAGCCAACAGATTCTGCTGACTAGGTATCTGGCATCATCATTTTTTAACGCCAATTCCTTTCAGTAAAGTGATTAGACAAAAATAAAGGAGCAATTTTGTTTCTTTCTTGGTAACACATTTGGGTACTTGTCCTGGTTTCAAGGGTAACAGTTATTTTTCTCCTTCCTAGTAGCTGATGCAGGGCTGTGTTTCGGTTTTAGCCTGAGAACAATGCTGGTTGTGGTTCTAAGTTATCAGCTGGGCTTTAACCATGACAGTCCCGCAGTACTCATCCACTCCTGAGTCCTACCTATAGGTTTTTGCAAACACATACAGTCTATTCAATTCCCACAGAAATTAATACAGAATAGTATTACTTAAACTAAGTGAAATAACATTGGAGCTTGAAAAGAGTGCTATTTTTCCCAAATGAGTAATTTCAGGTCAGTGAAACAGGTCAATGACCAAATTAAAGAAGATCTTTTTGAATGTGTAAGTGGCTGTTTTACTGTGACAGACACTATACCAAGTTATTTATAGTAAAGATTTTATTTACATTTGTAGGCCAAACAATTGCTTACCTCTCTCAAGTAATGAGTCATGAATCCATCAATAATTCCATCCTGTTCAAGTCCAATTATTAGATTCACTACACTGGTAAAGGCAAATACAGCATAAACTGTAACAAGATAAAGAGTAAAAAAATAACAAATTAATAAAGATTTGGAAACACACAGTTGCTTTACAGTCTGATAAATTCAGTCAGGCAGGGATTTATTGAACTAGTTGCATTTACTTGGAGGTCACAGATATTTAACATTATCAAAATCATATACATTATGATTTTCCCACATAGCTTAGTATTTTTTCATCAGCGTTAGTCCACAAAGTTCTTGGGAAGCTCTTTTCTTAGGAATATGCAATTCCGTGGAGCTGTAGGCACAGCCTCCGTGGAAAGCCAGTGTCTGCAGAAAGGACTATGTAGCCTTTCAAAAATCCTGGTCACACAAAGTGTAAAAGCTTGACTGTCATCATCTTTTGGAAAGGAGAAAGGACAGTAAAAAGGAGGTGGAGAGGGAAACGTGACTTGCCATTTTTGGAGGTGAGCAAGGCAAACTGCGTCAGGCACAGCAGTCCATAGGAGACCTATGTGGCAAGTTAGCAAGTCACTCCTTTGACACAGGAAATTTATTTGTGGTAGGTTTCTGCTATTTATTTTCTTTGACTTCAGCCTCATGCAGAACACTGCAGAATGACACCTACGAGTTGTAATGAGGAGGAAGACAGAAGGCAAATACCAGTTGGTTTGTACCTGCTTTGCTTATGAGCCCATCTTGTAAAATTTAAAAAACAGCAGTGTTTTTAGTCTAGATTTTGCTATAAGGTGCACTAGATCTAAGGTGTCTTTTTAAAATGTAATCACTATCTCTATTCTTCTATGGCAAAGTATCAATATATAAATGCTTGAGTGTGTAGACAGTCTGAGCCAGGAATTGGGATGGTTTGAACTTTCTTGTATATCACAAAGGTGAGTTAACACAGAAGCCTAATAGAAACAGGAGAATTAAGGAATTCAATCATAGGAAGAACCAAACTATGGAGGCTGTTGATCCAAAAGATCCAGAAGTACTAAATGAGTGCACACAGGATGAGATACAGAAGAGGTCTACTGTGGTGCCTAAGTCCTGCTACAAATCGTTTCTTAACAGAGCAGGTATGGCAGTATTTCAAACACTGTCATGGCCCAACTTGAGTGTTACTCTTACTCTTTTCCCTGGTCTGCCTTTCTTGGCTCCTTAGCACCACCTCACCAGACAGGATTCTGAAGCCATGTTTTACATGTTCAATCTGAAATAACCATCATATATTATCATTTATATAAATTAACACGTTCTGATTTTAGGTTCATTGTTACCAAGACATACCATAAAACAGAGGGTCCTTGGGTGGTTTTCTTTTGACGAGAACACGAGCCAATAGAGCAATAAAAACCAGAACCAGCAATCCAACTGGAACAATTATCCAGGAACTGTAACAGTGTGAAAAAGAAAAAGAATTTAAGAGAAAGAAACAGGCAGAACTTTGCTTGTTCATCTTTTTTTTACCAGCTATCCTCAAATGCCCACACTCTTAAAGTAACTTTTAATATTTTAAAAGTATTTTAAGTCTGTTTTTAAAAGGGTTTTTTTAGTTTTTAAAGTCTGTCACATAGTCTGTCATAGAACTCATTTTATAGTTTTGCAGAATTTATGTGCCTGTCTTTCCACATGTGATCATCTAAAAAAAGAAATTGCTAAAATAGCTAGATAAACAACATAGCCAGGAGTCTAGATTTGTCTGACTAAAATCAGTTTTCATACTGGTATCTGCAAAAATAAACAAAAATGGTGGAAAACTTAAAGGCTGATGAGAGGTGAAAGTCACAAGCACAGAGATTTCAAGGCCAAAAAGGCTCATTAGGGATATTTAGTCTAAGCTCAGCAATAAATCATCTACTCAGGAAATTACATATTCACAAATAAAACACATCAGTCCCATGGAATAGGGGTAGCAGTGTGCAGCACCTGCGATGGATCTGGGTTTAAATTCCAGTTTTGGAAGTGCTACCAAAGGTCTCTAAAAGACAGGATCACTTGGGAGGTCAGTAATCAATGCAGGTGGGCTCGGCAGAAAAGACCTGTTCTCTGAAGACAGGCTACAGTGTTAGTGCCTATGCAGTGATGGTAGGGGAAAGGACAAAATCTTTGGCACAAAGCAAATTTGTCTCCTTCCCCGAGAAAACACAAGAAAATCAGTTGAAGATTGGTTTATAGCTCTGTGTAGATTCTATTTAGCTCTCTTTAAGACAAGACTCTACTTCTCAGTATTCACTTTTGTGCTTGTGCATGGGGTAAAAAAGGAGGGGAAAGTTAGGTAAAGTCCAGAAGCATACGCTAAAAATATTTGGTACATGATTTTTATACCTAGTACCAAGCCTGTGTGTCAAGAAAAGAAACTGTGTACAAACAATACTATGACAATTTCAGCCTTGGTGAAACTTGACTTAAAATTATAGCAAAAAATGTGCAAGATCAAAGGTATCAGAATATATACACACATACTCCGAGTCAGGATGAGCAGTACCAGCGTGTTGGGTTATTTTATGGTTTGAATCTTCTGCTAGTCTGTTTTCCCGGTGATGAATTTCTTCATGCCATTACAGCTGTTAATAATGCAGTGACTTTTCACTGCGGTCTATTAATTTGAAATAAATATTGGCAATGAATCAAGTAAGTCAGTATGTGTTATTCGGCATTTCTCTAGCAATGAGAAACAAAAATGAAGTTATCGGCCAAAGGAGGAAAATGAGGACGGAGCAGATGTAGCTAAGCCTTAAAACCGCGAAACAAATATTTGTGCAGTAAAGTTGCAAAACACCCCAGGCAGTGGGATCGCAAAATACCACGCGGACCTTTAAGTGCAGTGATTTTTCCATGAGGAAAGACCTTTCTCTTCTAGACCTGCGGCTGATCCTGGGATCCTATTTTTTTGGGAGAGCAAGGGCATATGGACATTTCCAGTTAAACCTCGCACGTCTTACGGGGTGCCCGGAGCGTTCTGGTGAGTTCTTCCATTCGTTTTTAAATAGAATTGGATTTTGTTTGTGAATGCCGGGCTCCGGGACAG